AGGGACAAAATCAATAGGCAAACACATGAGTAAAAATATTTGCCACAACGCTGATATTAAAGGGTTAGTATCTAAAGTATAAATTGATTTTTAAAAAATAAGAAAAATGGGCAAAAGATATATATATTTTTTAATTGCACAAGACAGGGGCACCTGGGTGGCTCAGTAGGTTGTGTCTGCCTTCGGATCAGGTCATGATCCTGGGGTCCTGGGATAGAGCTCCACAGCAGGGAACCTGCTTCTCCCTTTTCCCCCTGCTCCTGCTCTCTGTCACTATCTCTCTCTCAAATAAATAAATAAAATCTTAAAAAAATAAATTGCAGAAGACCATGGAAAATGAAACAAGTGAGGACTTTCCTAAGTAAAAAAAAAAAAAAGACTTTTAATCCAAAAAATGCAAACAAAACACTTCTAAATAATTATATCAGTGCAAGTGAAGATTTATTCATTTATTTATTGAACACCTTCTGGGTGCCTACTATGTGCCAAGCATTCTTCTAGACTTGTGATTAACTAGTGACAGAAGTTTCTATCCTAGAAGGAGAACAAATAATAAGTTATTAAAAACAAATGAGATGATTTCAGATAGTCATAAGTACCACAAGGAAAGTAATACAGGGTAATGTGATAGGGAGGGCCTTGGGGATAATGGGAGGTTTTTGTTTTGTTTTGTTTCTAAGATTTATTTTTAAGTAATCTCTATTCTCACCATGGGGCTCAAACTCACAACCCTGAGATCAAGAGTCATGTGCTCTAGTGAGCCAGCTAGGTGCCCCAAACAGGAGGTTTTTTAGAGGGAAAATCTCTCTAAGGCAGTGATATTTGATTGAAACCTGAAAAATAAGAAAGAGCAAGTCAAAAAAAAAAAAAAAGAGCAAGTCATGCAAAGATCTGAGATCAGGGAAATGATAGACAAATTGCAAATTGCAGGGACAGAAACAAGACTTTTGTGGTTGGAGGACAGTGGGGAGAAGGAAGAGAAGGGCTTTATTCTGTTTTTACTGAAGGTTGTAAAAACAACTTTTTGTTTTACTTTTGATCCTGATTTTACATTTAAGTGAATGTCCTCAGATACCACTAATTTAGTTGCAAGTTTCAAAATTTCAAGAATACATATCCATATCCATACCTAACCTTCCTGACTTTTGGCTCTACTAAAATAGGGAAAGAAATAGAGACAAGGGAATGGTTTTATATTTTTTATATTTTTATATTTTTAGTACCCAATATGCTCAAGTCATGATCTCAGGGTCCTGGAATCGAGCCCCATGTTGGGGCTCCCTGCTCAGTGAGGAGTCTGCTTCTCCCTTTCCCTCTGCCCCTCCCCCTTCATGCTCTCTCTGTCTCTCTCTCTCTCTCAAATAAATAAAATCTTTGAAAAAAATAAAATTTAAAAAAAAGGAAAGATGAATTGAAATTAGTTAAGTAAGAAACAGTGGAGTGGGATGGGAGCAAGGGGGAGGGTGCCAAGATAGCGGAATGGGAAGGAATCCTGACAGAGAGACTATAGCTCATTGTAGGAAAGAGAAGATAGTGTGCCTGGAGCCAAGAGAGAAATATTACATACTTACAGAAACTAAAGAAACATGACAGTTAAATGCAGCACATAAACATATAATCAGGATTTGGTTTTTTTAAAGATTTTATTTATTTATTCGAGGGAGAGAGAGAGAAAGAGCACACACAGGGAGAGGGAGAAGCAAGCTCCCTGCTGAGCAGGGAGCCCGATGGATGTGGAACTCAATCCCAGGAGCCTGAGATCATGACCTGAGCCGAAGGCAGAACGCTCAACTGACTGAATCACCCAGGCACCCTATAATCAGGATTTGATCTGATTTGGGGAAAAAGAGGTTGCAATCTAGGACAGCTTTGGGACAATAAGCAAAATTTGTATATTAACTAATAGTATTCAGTCAATTTCAATTTCCTGAATTTGATAATTGTACTGGGACTAAATAAGAGAGTATCTTTCAGGGGCGCCTGGGTGGCTCAGTCATTAAGCCTCTGCCTTCAGCTCAGGTCATGATCTCAGGGTCCTGTGATCGAGCCCCGCATTGGACTCCCTGCTCCGCGGGAAACCTGCTTCTTCCTCTCCCACTCCCCCTGCTTGTGTTCCCTCTCTCGCTGTGTCTCTCTGCTGCGCTCCCCTGCTAGAACCTCCAAACAAGCTCTCTGTCAAATAAATAAAATCTTAAAAAAAAAAAAAGAGAGACAGTTTGTAATCTACTCTCAAAAGATTTAACAACAAAACATAATAATTGGAATGTAATATGTATATTATATGTAATATATGTAAAGAAAAATAAAGCAAATGTGACAAAATGCTAACAACGGCTGAATCTAGGTGAAGAAATGGGAGTTCCTGCAACTTTTCTAAGGATCTAAATTTTTTTTCAAAATAGAAAATTTCGTTAACATCTCACTCTGGTTGGGGTTCCTGACTGGCACAGTAGGTAGAGCACATCACTCTTGATCTCAGGGTTGTCAGTTTGAGCCCCATGTTGGGTGTAGAGATTACTTAAAAATAAAATCTTTGAAAAAATTTACTCTGGCTAAGATATCAGAAACTCAATTTCAGGATTCTCGTGGCACCTAGTTATATGAACATATAATTTAGGAATATTGAGGTAACTACCAGTAGAAATATATAAAAATGGTTCCCTCTGGAAAAAAAAGACCAGGGTTCAAAAAAAGTTAAGAGACTCTATGTGCTTTTTAAAATATACTTTAAAAACAGGGGCTCCTGGGTGGCTCAGTCATTAAACGTCTGCCTTCGGCTCCGGTCATGATCCCAGGGTCCTGGGATTCAGCCCCGCATCGAGCCCCGCATCGGGCTCCCTGCTCCACGGGAAGCCTGCTTCTCCCTCTCCCACTCCCCCTGCTTGTGTTCCCTCTCTCTCTGTGTCTCTCTCTGTCATATAAATAAATAAAATCTTTAAAAAATAAAATAAAATAAAATAAAATATACTTTAAAAACAAAGGAAATAAGGATATTACTGATCCAATTGTACAGAAATGTGGCTGATTTAATGGGAAGTGGTGGAGGCAGCAATCATATAAAAGCATTGGACTTGGAGTTCAAAGACATGGATTCTAGTCTTCTAGTCTTCCAACAATACCTATTACCTATGTATCCTTGGTTAATAAATCTCTTTGAGCTACAGTTCTTTTGTTAATTAATTTGGCATAACCATTATTTCACAAGGTAGTTGGGAAGAACAAATGAAATAAGTATGTGTTATTACACTATGTAATACTATATTGGTACTACATAAATGCAACCTAATTTTAAAAAACTGTGATTATCTTCCCTTATTGCCCATAAAAAATGTTATGTAATCCAGATAGTATGTACTCCATTTGCAGCTTGTGTTTTCACCCACATCAATCCTGAAGTAAGATTCAAAACCTCTTCACTCCTTCCAAAAATATTCCACTCTGGTGAGAGGTATCAATCTTACTAAATATTTTGAGGGGAAGTCAGGGGCTTTGTACCACACATCCCATGGCAAACAAGGGCATAAACTTTCTTTCATGAGGCCTCCTCTCCCTAGTCTTTTCTGAAGTGAAATGTTGTGGTTTGCGAGCAAACAGTACAGAAAGAATTATTGAAACGACTTCAGTGCAAAAAGGGTGGTTTTACTAAAGCACAGGCACAGGACCCATGGGCAGACAGAGCTCTCTGGGGTCGTAAGGAGTGGCTGATTATATACTTTCAAGTTGGGAGGGGTTTAGGGATAGGTAAGTCTCTAAGGAATTTGGAAGCAAGGTTTCCAGGACCTTGAAGGTCTAGCTGTTGTTAGGAAAAGGTCATTTAATACTGTCTGGTAAAACTTAGTCATGAGACCCTTCAGATGTATATTAGTGTGCCTTATGTTTTGAGGATGATTGCTAACATATATACATATATCTTGGGGGTGGGGGGGTGGGGTGTAGGTAGAGATAAAGGAAGTTTCCAAAGGGATTTTTATAGTGTCTTAGAGGTTGGGCTAATGTCAAACTACGGTTGCCTGAGGCAGCTAAGCTCCTTGAAGAAGGTACTTATCAATGGGCTGTAAGTTGTAAGAAAGTTTAATTTTTTTTCTTTTCCCTTTGTTGTCCACATCATTTTATTTATTTTTTTGTTTCCCCCCATTTTTTTCAAAGATTTTATTTATTTATTTGAGAGAGAGCGAGAGAGAGAGCGAGAGAGAGAGAGCACAAGCAGGGGGAGGGGCAGGCAGAGGGAGAGGGAGAAGCCGACTCCCCTCTGAGTAGGAAGCCCGGGCGTGGGGCTCGATCCCAGGACCTTGGGACCATGACCCGAGCACAAGGCAGACACTCAACTGACTGAGCCACCCAGGCGCCCCCACATCGTTTTGTACTAAGACCAGCTTGGGCTTCACATTCTTTATCTTCTCTGGCTTCTCCTTCCCCCCAGAAATCCTCCTCCTAACAATCTCTTCTTTGCTTCCTTCCTTCTTTCCTTTTTCTTTCTTTTCTTCTTTCTTTCAAGATTTTATTTATTTGACAGAGAGAGAGCACAAGCAGGGGGAGCAGCAGAGGGAGAGGGAGAAGCAGACTCCCAGCTGAGCGGGGAGCCCTAGGAGGGGCTCCATCCCAGGACCCTGGGATCACTACCTGAGCAGAAGGCAGCCGCTTAACTGACTGAGCCACCCAGGTGCCCCCCTTCTTTGCTTTCTTTATGTGGAACAGCTTAATTCTTCCAATTATTTATTTCCCAAAAGGACCCTCTATTACCCTATCTTTGAAGGCAGCAGAGAATTATAAATAATAATCATTTTTTTTCCTTGCATACTTAAATTATCGGGTCTATCAGAGAACTTTCAATTCTGTTCTGGTGATTAATCTTATGCCAAAGCCAGGAGAGCCCCCACAAAGTACCGGCAAAACCCCGACAGCATCAAGGGAACAGTCAGTCCTCCGGGCGCAGGCGCGAAAGGGCCGCTAAGTCCCCCCCGCAACCGGGTATTTCCCTCCCCCTGAACCTGTGGACCGGAAATCGCTTAGCGGAAGAGGCGGCCTGGAAGAGGGAAGTCGCGGTTTTCTCGGGAAGGACTGGAGAAACTTTCGCTCTGCTGCGCTGCATAGCGGCCCAAAGGGGTGAAGGGTCAGTCCGCGAGGTTTTGGTCATGGCGCTCGCCGCTCGCCTCTCGCACTTTCTCCCTTGGGCACGTGCCGTCTTTCCCGGACCTTGGCGCTCGAGGGGTGTTGCTGGCTGCCGCGGACTGTGCTGTACTTGGCGACTCCGCGGCTCTGAGGTACCCCCGCCGCCGTGACTCCGCTCCCTCACTACTGGCTGGGTTCCGGCACCCACTTCTTCAGCCGGCCTGCTCCGTATCACCTTGGGGAATGTGGTGGACTGAGGCAGGTACTTAGGGCCAGGTGTTCCTGGAGCTCTTCAGGTGACTGCAAGCCTTTCTCAAGGCTACTTTCTTCTCTGAAAACTGGGGTCGGAGGGGGAATGAGCTCCCCCTCAACCCTTCTCCCCCGAGAATCCGGGGTTCCTGCCGGTCTTTCCTCTGTGAAAACAGAACCTTGGTTGGGGGGCTTGGAACCTTGACCGCTGTGAAAATTTACTTTGGCGATACTGTGCGGCACCTGAGGCTCTTAGTCTACCAGACTTTGAAAAGTTTGTGGTGTGATTTTGAAAATTATTACGACTTAGAAGCAGAGATTTTGTACTATTTAGGTTTAAAATTTGAGCCCTTTGTTTTATCTGCATAATGTGAAGGAAGGATGTTGGATTGTCATCCCAGTTTTGGCTTTTCTATTAGACCGTTCGTGGGCCTTGGTTTATCTAGTTGTGAAAGGGGATTAGAGAGTGACGGTTGGCAATAGTGCATGTGATACGTATTATTTGAACTAGGTGTTTAATTATTTTGAACTCTAAAGTACACATTTTTGACTGCCTGCTATGTTCAGGGTTATGGGGGGCTGTTAGGGCAACAGGTAATGAAAGACAGGCTTGATTGCTGTCCTCCAAAATGCTTATAGTCAGTTGCGGAGATGTTAAAAGATATAGGCAGAGGGATGGGAGGGGTACTAGGTATGAAACTAGTTAGCCTCAAGTTCCCAAATTAGAGCATTGGTGAGTTAAAAGTTCCATTTTAGTGGGGTGATCATCATTTAGATAATGAGGGCTAACATTTTTGAAGTTTTACTATAACCAGGCATTGCATTGAACGTTACCTCATATAATCTCCATTTCTATCCTATGAAGTGAGAACTGTTATTTTAACCATTTTTTGGAAGAGGAAACTGAAGTAAGGTTAAGTAATGTATCCAAGTCACACAGCCAGAAATATGTTGGATTTGATGGCAGGTAGGATATCTACATGTATTGCATATAGCCACTGTGCTAAAAAACTGAGAACTGGAGGAGATAGAAAAGGATAGAAAAAAATCAAGATCAAGAGAGACTAGAAAGATTTTTAAGTCATAAAACTCCACTCTAAGCCAAAGGCAGTGAAAAACATTCTTCCCTAGATATATTGAATTTTGGGGGAGTTGGAACTAATATTACAGTTTCCAGGTTTTTCATGGGTTTTTGTAGCCCTCATTATTTGTTTTCTTGTTCCTAAACCTTTCTCTCAGCATGATGTTAGTAAGTTGAATTGGAGATATTTTCCAGGAGTTTGTTGAGATTGGGGACAACTGCTGAGTGGCTGAGGTTTCATTTTTCTGTCTCTTTCTATATGTAATCTGTGTTAAAAAACACTTCTCTGAACGTTTATTTTTCTTTTTTTTAAATTATTATTATGTTAATCACCGTACATTACATCATTAGTTTTTGATGTAGTGTTCCATGATACATTATTTGCGTGTAACACCCAGTGCTCCATGCTGAACGTGCCCTCTTTAATACCCATCACCAGGCTAACCCATCCTCCCACGCCCCTGAACTTTTATTTTTCAGCAGATTTGTACTGAGTGCTTACTGTGAACAAAGCTCTGTTCTAAGCTCTGGAGATATATTGAACATAAGAAATAGAAACACTTTTCCTCATTGATCTTACAGATAAGAAGGAAAGGTAGTTGAGTAACTACCTTTGTAGTAAATGTAATTAATGCAAAGTGTTGGGAAAAGAGAAACAAAGTTATACCTAACCTGATCTTGAAGGGAGGAAGTGGAAAAGTGTGAGCAATTAGAGATGAGATATAAAGAATGATTGGAGGTTAAAGAATAGTGGGAATATGAGGACAAAAGAATATTCCAGTAGAGAGAGTAGCATGATACAGGCCCTAAGGTAAGAAAAAGTGGTATTTTTGAGGACCTGAAATTATGAATGGAGCCTGAAATGGGAGAATAAACTGATATAAACCGGGGCTGAAAAATCAGGCAAGTACCAGTTTATTAGTTATCTATTACTGCATAGCAGATTATTGCACAACTTAATGGTTTAAAGCAGCAAACAGTCTCATTGTGTTTTGGTTATCAAATCCAGGCTTAGCTGGATGCCTCTGGCAGAAGGTTTCTCCTAAGGATTGAATCAAGCTATTCGGCTGCTGAGGTTTCATTTGAGGGCTCAATTTAGAGGTAGAGGGAAAGTTATGCCTATAACCTCGCTCATGTAGTTGTAGGCAGGCCTTTGTACTCACCTAGAAGGCTTCTCAAAAGGGCTGCCTTAAGACACAGCAGCTTCCCCCAGGGCAGGCAAGCAATCAAAGAAAACACATGAGAGAATGAGTGTCAAAGATGGAAGTCCAGTTCGTTTATAACCTAATCTTGACGTAACATCCCTTCACTTTTGCATATTCTGTTTTTTTAAAGAGAGCCAGTAAGTCCAGCCTACATTTAAGGGAAGGGAATTACACAAAGGAGTGAATATTAGAAGTACAGAAGAGAGAAATCTTTCTTCCCAGGAGTCTTCCAGTTGGTTTAGGGATTAAACTGCATGAGACAACAGGAACAAAAACCAGGGTTTTATTATGTGTGCACGGATGTCCAATGATGAAATTGAGACTGAAAGAAATGACCAAGGCAGGCAGTTTTTATACATTTTAGGCACAATAAATTTGTGAGGAACTGGCAGGATAAAGAAAACAGATGTTTGGGAGCTTTATTTAGTAAGGAATTTTAAGTATAATTTAGGCTGAGGTAGTAGATTTGTAACAAAGGCTTGTTTCTATTGCTTTCTGGGTTTTAATGTCCTTATCTCTGGTGATGAGGATGTCTTTTTACTTCTTAGTACAGGAAGGGTATTTTTCATATGGGAGATTTATTTTCTGTTTTCAGGGAGTCAGAGGAGGGTCTCAGTGTTCTTGCACCAGCAGTTTCCCAAATAGCTTCAATTCAGAATAATCAGTATACCATTGTGCTACATTTTGAGGCAGCCTGCCCTGGGCCCTGACAAAAGGCAGGAATCATTTGGGGCCATTTTAATTAATTTATCTGTATATTTTTAAATTGAGATATAATTGACATGTAACAGTTTCAGGTGTATGACACAATGATATAATATTATAATATTTGTGCATATTGCCAGATGATCCCCGCAATTAGTAAAGTTAACATCCGTCTCTACAGTTTTTTTCTCTTGATGAGAACTTTTAAGATTTACTCTCTTAGTAACTTCCAAATATACATACAGTATTATTAACTGTAGTTATCATGCTGTACATTACATCCTAGGACTTATTTTATAACTGGAAGTTTATACTTTTTGACCATCTTCACACATTTAACCAGCCCCCTTCTACTCCCCCTCTGGCAGCCACCAATCTGTTCTCTATTTATAAGTTTGGCTTTTGTTTTAGATTCCACAATGAGATCATACTGCATTTGTCTTTCTTGTCTGACATATTTCACTTAGCATAATGCCCTCAAGGTCCCTTCATGTTGTCACACATGGCAAGATTTCATTCTTTTTATGGCTGAAAAATATTCCATTGTGTGTGTGTGTGTGTGTATATATATATATCACATTTGTTTTATGCATTCATAGATGGACACTCATGTTGCTTCCATGCCTTGGCAACCATAAATAATGCTGCAGTGAACATGGGGGTGCATATATCTTTTTGAGTTACTGTTTCTGTTACCTTTGGATAAACACCCAGTAGAATTGCTGGGCCATATGGTAGTTCTATTTTTTATTTTTTGATTAAACTTCATGCCGTTTTCTTTTTTCTTTTTTTTTTTTTTAAGATTTTTATTTATTGAGAGAGAGAATGATAGAGAGCATGAGAGGGAGGAGGGTCAGAGGGAGAAGCAGACTCCCTGCTGAGCAGGGAGCCCAATGCGGGACTTGATCCTGGGACTCCAGGATCATGACCTGAGCCGAAGGCAGTCGCTTAACCAACTGAGCCACCCAGGTGCCCCTTCACGCTGTTTTCTATAGTGGCTGGACCAATTTACATTCCCACCAACAGTGCACAAGGGTTCCTCTTCTCCACATCCTCACCAACACTTAGTATTTCTTGTTTTTTTGACAATACCATTCTAAGAAGTGTGAGATGATACCACATTGTGGTTTTGATTTGCATTTCCCTAATGAGTACCTTTTCATGTACCTGTTGGCTATCTCTAAGTCTCTGGAAAAATGTCTCTTCTGATACTCTGCCCCTGTTTTAATTGGACTGGTTTTTAAAATTGTTTTGGCTATTGAATTGTGAGAATTCTTTATATATTTTGGATGTTAATCCCTTATCAGATATATGATGTGCCAATTTTTTCTTCAGTTCGGTAGGTTGCCTTTACATTTTGTTGATAGTTTTGTTTCCCGTAGTTTGATGGAGTCCCACTAGTTTATTTTTACTTTTGTTGCCTTTGCTTTTGGTGTCAAATCTAAAAAGTTATTGCCAAGATCATTGTCAAGGAGCTTACCCCCTATGTTTTCTTCTAGGAGTTTATGGTTTTAGGTTTGATGTTCAAGTTTTTAGTCCCTTTTGAGTTAATTTTTGTGTATGCTGTAATACAGTAGTTCAGTTTTATTCTTTTTCTTAAATATATATTTTTTAATATTTATTTGAGAGAGAGAGAATGAGAGAGCACATGAGAGGGGTTAGGGTCAGAGGGAGAAGCGGACTCCCTGCCGAGCAGGGAGCCCGATGCGGGACTCAATCCAGGGACTCCAGGATCATGACCTGAGCCGAAGGCAGTCGCTTAACCAACTGAGCCACCCAGGCACCCAGTTTAATCTTTTTCATGTGGCTATCCAGTTTTCTGGACACTCATTGAAAAGACTGTTTTTTCCTCATTGTATATTCTTGGCTCCTATATTTTAAATTAGTTGGCCCATATATGCATGAGTTTATT